CCCAAATCACATGGGTTGAAATGATAGGGGGAGGAAAAAATCTTACTGTATGTGGCAGCAGGTTTGCATTTGCAGAGAGCTTTAAATCCCAACTAGAAATGCATCAGCTTCATGCTGCAAAAACACTAGGGTGGTTGTTCCAGTCTGGAAGCCTTTTCAGGACGGAAGCACAGATATGTTTCCTTCTCTCTGTCTGTCATTTGCCTTCATTCCCCTTGGGCTTTTATATTTCGTTCCTGGCTTGGTATCTTCCCTATCCATCAGTCTGGCGCATCCCATTAAGCAGCTTTTCTTGATTGACTAATGAGATGCTATTTTTGGCAATGCTTTTATCACTGTCTTTTATTTCTCAACTACATTTTCTCCATTTTCTCTTGTTATACTTTGGTGGTTCTTCTGTTGTTACTGTATTTACTGTTATATGCCCATCACCTCTCTGGCATTTATTCGGTCAGTTGTTACTCCTTTCTTCTGTCTTTTCCTTGCCTACTCCTTCCCAATTCCTCTCCTACTTCATTCAGGTTTGTTCTACCATCTTACATAGTCCTTTTCACATCTTTCCCCATCCAGTGCATCACTCTCCTCCTATGCCCAAGATCCTCTTTCAAATAATCAAAAAGTAAATAGAGGACAAGAGCATTTCCAGAGGGAGATTCATCCTACCTTAAGGTACCTGCCTAAGCCAGGCAGGATGGATTGTGGCAGTGGGTTCCTATCTCTGTTCATTAACTGCAGAAGTCTAACTAGGACAGAGCAGGTGCTTCACTTACAGAGAGTAAAGTGTAAATAAGGTGAATACCATTCATGTAAGATACTGGGACTTAAAATGCTGAGTATTAAGACAGGATGTGCACATTACAATGACAGATAGAAGAATAATTTAGGAAGCTGTTTGTAAGTCATAGGATTTTGGCAGTTGTTTAACCTACAGCACTAAAGCTATTTAGAATTAACACATTTTTGAATCACCTTTTTGTGTCCCAGTGATTAGCAGTATAAAATTCCAGGTGCAAGCTGGCCTTTTAATCCAAATAATGGCTTTCTCCCCATCATACATAAATACAGCCTTAACACATCAGTATGTTAACTGCAGTAATGCTATTCTCAGAAGATTAAAAGAAATATTCCTACTTTCATCTGCCTGGCATATCCCGAGGCTGGAAGGTATTTCAGAATTAGCATAAATGCTGGTCTAGATGTGCTCTTTCAGCTTTTACTTGAAGGGATTGCTGTATTCTTGACACCTGCTTATTTCATTCTCCAAAAATGTAACTTGTGAGAATAAAGGAAGTAACCCAAGGACAAAATGAAGAGCTCTGTAAGGGGTTTACTTCCTTCCTTCTGGTGTGTGGCAGCTTCACTGCCTTCAGTCATAGACACCAAGATGGACCCAAGGCTGTACTAATTTGAAACTTCTTGGGTCATTTCACAGAGGTTTTATAAGGTCAGTGAGATTGTACTCATTGACAAGGTTTTCACAGCATCACAAAATTGGTCAGGTTGGAAGGGACCACAGTGGGTTATCTGGTCCAACCTTCCTGCTCAAGCAGGGTCATCCCAGAGCACCTGGATTGTGTCCAGGTGGTTCTTGAGTATCTCTGGTGTGGGAGAATCCACAACCTCTCTGGGTGATCTGTTCCTATGCTTGGTCACTTGCATAGTAAAGTTCTTCCTCCTAGTCAGGTGGAACTTCTTGTGGATCAGTTTCTGCCCATTGCTTCTTGTCTTATTGGTTGGCACCACAGAGAAGAGCCTGATCCATCCTCTTGGCACCCTCCCTTCAGATACTTCTATACATTGGTGTGTTCCCCTCTCAGTCATCTCTCCTTGAGACTGAACAGGCTCAGCTCCCTCAGCCTTTCCTCTTATGAGAGATGCTCCAGTCCCTTAAACATCCTTGTTGTCCTCTGCTGGACCTGCTTCAGGAGCTCCATGTCTCTCTTGTACTGAGGAGCCCAGAACTGGACACAATGCTCCCAGATGTGCTTTCCTGTGCAGTGTGTGTGCTAGAATAATAATGTAAATCCATGTGGTTCTGTGTAACCTGCCTCATTTTGCAGTACAGCTGCCCCAATGCTCACTGTGCACATAGGCAGGGCATGGGGGCACTGTTCATTAGCTACTCTTTTGTACTTAGAGTGTGCCTGCCCTTCTCTTGGGGCATTTTATGATTGCTGTGGGTGCAGACAGTTGGCACAGGGTGGCAAAGTGCTGCAATTCTGTACACTAGTAATTTGTTCAGATATCCATACCCTCCAGAAGCTATTGATGGCAATACCTCTCTTCATCCTGTGGTTACTGCTGGTGTAGCACAGTTGGGTGTATGTGGCTTGATGGTGCCCTTGGAAACCTACTGGAACTTGTCTGTGTAGACATGCCCAACAGGATGATGCCCTGTGTTTACATCTGATGTGTTTGGATGTTAATATAAATATGCTGTTAGCAAAGTTTGTGAAAGGGATGTATCATTAAAACCAGAGCTAAAAGATCTTCCTGAGAAGGTTTGGCTGATTTCCATATCCAAATAGTTAGTTGCTAGCTCTGCATTTCCTACATGGAAGAGTGGGAGAGACTGGAAAAATTAAAATTAAGCAGGGAGAACAGTTACAGTAAAACATGTTTAACAATAACCTGTAGAGAGATTTATGTCAGTTTCTCACTGGCAATTAACTAGGCAATGGCTTGGATAGAATCCTTATCACCAGAATCCCTATATTGCCAATTGTATACATTGCCTGCTCTTATACAGAGTCAGTCACAGTCTGACTTGCTATAACAGTTATTAGGGTGAAACTGAGGAAATTTTGCTAAACAAATTCGAAGATACACATCTAGTTGGAGGGCGAGAAGGTGTGTGTTTCTCTTCTGTATGTACATACACATCTGTGGGTTTTAAATATGTGTTTTATGCCTTCCCTGTGTGAAAGTTCTAAGAATCTGCTAATGTTCCTAGCTTAGAAATGTGAACCACACTGACGTGATGTCTTTGTTTTTTCTGGTGCAACTCCTGCGAGTCAAGATGATATGCATGATAAATCTTCCACCTTGGCAGAGAGAGAGGGAAGTGTTTAATATTTAACCAAGGTTGTCTTTTACTTCAGCATCCATCGATAGGGGACTGCAGTTACAAATACGTAAAACTGTGTTTGTTTTTGCTAAGAGGAGTGCTTGGAAGGAGAAAGAGATAACCTTTCCCTAAGGAATAGGCTTTGATTACAACAAAAGACAAGAGGCTGCTTTTAAAATAGATCAAATTAAGCCCATGTTACACTAAAATAGTTTATACTTGCTTAAATAGGACTGTATTTAAAGCACAGTAGTTAAAACAGTGGCTTTTGAATCACTGTGGTTAAATTGTGCAAGTCACTGTGCCTGTGCTCTCATCTGCTCAAGTTCTCACGCCAGACTGTCTGATTTTCCCATGGGGAGCAGCACGTCGAGGTTCATGCCATATTATCTCCTGTTTACTGAAGAAAATGGTCCAGTGAACCAGTTAGCTGAATTCACTGAGTCACAGAGTCATTAAGATTGGAAAAGACCTCCAAGCCCATATCACGACGTGCCACGTCCAGTCATTTCTCGAGCACTTCCAAGGATGGTGACTCCACCACTTTCCTGAGCAGCCCATTCCAATGCTTGCCAATGCTTTCAGTGAAGAAATTATTTCTGATGTCCAACCTGAACCTTCCCTGGAGCTGCTTGAGGCCATTTCCTCTTGTCCTTTTGCTAGTTGCCTGGGAGAAGAGGCCCACCTTGCTACAGCCTCCTTTCAGGTAGCTGTAGAGCAATATAAGATCCCCCCTGAGCCTCCTGGGTTTTTTTTGTTTTTTTGGGTTTTTTTTGCCAGGCTAAACAACTCCAGTTCCCTCAGCTGCTCATAGGACTTGCTCTCTAGACCCTTCACCAGTTCTGCTGCCCTTCTCTGCACATGCTCTAGCACCTCAATGTTTTCTTGAAGTGTCTCAGTCATACACACTTCTTGCTAAAGGAGGAGTACTTTTTAGTATCTATAGATTCCTCTAGGTTAGATAGGGAGCACATATCCAAACTGCATTTAGCTACATTTAGGCCATTGGGAAAAACTCCTGTTAGAGATATGAAGCTTCCTGCCCAGCCTGCTTCTGAGTCCCTCTCAGAAATTTAGCAGAGCTTTGAAAGGAAAAATGTAGAAGTTAAAGAGGCTCAGCCCAAACAATCCTTTCTTCTGAGTCCTTAATAGACCTGAGCTGCATCTCAGATCTGTTGTACAAATCTGGCATGTTGCAGGTAGGAAAGAGTTGGTCATAATTTACTGTACTCAATGTATTTTTTTAACCAATCTTAAACTAACTGTACTTCACAGAATCATAGAATCTTCAAGGTTGGAGGAGACCCCTAAGATTGTTGAGTCCAACCATTAACTTGCCACTCTGCTGTAACCCCTAAACCATATCCTCCAGCACCAGATCCAGACACCTCTTAAACACTTCCAGGGATGGTGACTCCACCACCTCCCTGGGCAGCCTATTCCAGTGCCTGAATACCCTAACAGGGAAAACATTTTTCCTAACATCTAATCTGAATCTCTACTTGTCTTAATGATGTATTTGTTAATTGTTGTATTTTCTCTCACTGGGTTTGTACATCATCTCAGAAATGAGCCTACTGACAGAATGCTATTGTCTTGCAGATAAAAAAACCTACTATACCTTTGAAACCCAAACAAACAAGAAAAAACCCCCAACTGTTTTTTTCACAGCTTTAAAAAATTGTGTTTTAAAAGATATTATGAACAGGGTATTGAAAGGAGAATGGAGGTGCCTATGGGCTAAAGAGCTGGAGATTTCACAGAAAACGAGTGGGCACATGCAGCTTTCACTCTGTTGGGCTGAAATCTGTAAGCTAGGATTGCTTCTAACTACCTAGTGTTGGTGATTAGTGTGCAGGCTTTCTACTAACACTCAGAGATGGATCCTGCTAGGAGGGTGTGCAGGCAGTGACGCCGTTCCTGCCTCTTGCAGATGCGCACGACGCGCAAAGTGTCGGTGTGGCCCGTGGGACTGGTGGGAGGACGACGCTACGAGCGCCCGGTCGTGGAGAATGGCAAAGTTGTTGGCTGGTACACTGGCTGGAGAGCTGACAGGCCCTTTGCTATTGACATGGCAGGTAAGCATCAATTTTCAGATACATAATAACCATTTTGTCACTGTAAGGAGCTGTTGAGACTTCGGAAGTGTCACCACTGTTTGCAGCTCTTCAGCACTGAGTATCCGGCAAGTCTTAGCTTGCACATCGTGTCTAATTAAATTGCTGCTTGGTGATATCTGAACTTACTTTCATTTGGTTTTAACTTTCTGTGGCAACTTGGCTTTTCTTGTTGTATAAATTGTCTGAAACAAGTTAACTGTAAATTAATTCATCCAGTCAATTTTTGCAAGGAGTCCCTGCCTTTCTTTGTGTCATCAGTCCACACCAGGCACTATAAATGCAGATCCTTCTTAGACCTCATGTTGTAAAATGCTACTTTCTCATGAAATTATTCATTTTGTGTTGGAATGACAGTGATAACTGTAGATGGATATAGCTTGAAACACTGGGCTTAGGGGAAGAAATCACTGACAGCTAGAGCCTAGTAGATGAAGGCAGAAAAGCTTCAAAATGAATCTGATCAATCTTCTGCAGTGAAGTTGGCACACTACATGGCTCTGTCTTCCTGTCAGTCCATGCTAAGACAATTTCTTGTATTTATTTACAACTGCTTCATGAACCACCACTGTGCAGAAGTCCAGTTTCTGGTGTAGCAGCAGTTTCCCAGAAAATGATATGATGTTTGCACTTGGGCATCTTCTGTTTTCAGGAGGGAAGGGCAAAAGTAGGAATACAAGGGCAAAACAGGGTAGAAATAGCCACTGATATCCTTAGGTTTTGGGATCCTCATCTCAACAGAATCTCAGAATTTAAGGGTTGGAATGGACCTTACAGATCATCTAGTCCAACCCCTGCCCTGGGCAGTGACACCTCCTCACTGGCTCAGGTTGCTCAAGTCTCATCCAGCCTGGCCTTGAACACTGCCAGGGTTGGGGCAGCTATGACACCCCTGGGCAACTTGTGCCAGTGTCTCACCACTGAGACATAAATAGAATATTTGTTAGATACAAATAGAATAGTTGTTAGACTAAAAAACTTTTTTTCTAATATCTAACCTAAACTTCCCCTCCTTCAGTTTGAACCCATTACCTCTTGTCCTATCACTGCAGTTCCTAACACAGAGTCCCTCTCCAGCTCCTTGTAGCCCCTTCAGATATTGAAAAGTTGCTCTCAGGCCTCCACGTAGTCTTCTCTTCTCCAGGCTGAACAGCCCCAACTCCCTCAGCCTGTCCTCACAGGGGAGATGCTCCAGTCCTCTTAGCAACTTTGTGGCCTCCTCTGGACTTGCTCCAACAGTTCCATGTCCTTCTTGTTTTGAGCACACCAGAACTGTGTGCAGTATTCCAGGTGGGTCTCACCAGAGCAGAGCAGAGGGGAAGAATCCCCTCCCTTGCCCTGCTGCCCACACTCCTGTGGATGCAGCCCAGGATTCCATTGGTTTCTGGGCTGAACTCACACTGCAGCTCATGCTGAGCTTCTCATCCACTGTCACTCACAGGTCTTTCTCCTCACTGCTGGTTTCAATTCCTTCCCACCCAACCTGTAGGTGTGCTTGGGATTGCCATGGCCCAGATGTAGGACTTGTAGAATATTTTTATATGAATTGAAATGTTTGATGGAAAATGTGTGCAGTATTTACAGTCCAGCTGGTTAAGAAGAGTAAAGGAGGACTGAGAGGACTAACTGTTGCTAACACCTTAAAGACAGGTGAATTTTTCTGCACTGTGGAGGCATTTCAAATCAATAGGTACCACCTGGCATGAGAATAAATATTTGGGTGTTGAGGTAGAGGCATTCCTCAGGGGAGAAGTAGGTATGTCAGTGCCTAAACCCACACAGTATGTTGAGAACTGCAGCTGTGCATTCCAAGTGTCTCTGCCTGTGGATTTATAAATACATATTGATCCTGTGCTGTGGAAGGGATTACTTACAGGCATTATAAAGGTGAAAGTGTGGTTCATAATTCATTAGCAGCAGGCAAAAAGCCATTACACAACATCAGCCAAGGGACTCTAACCCACACATGAAGAGATCCATGGGAAGTTCTTAGGTTGTTGTTTCCTTTGCAGTTGCTGAATCACTGGCATGAGGGAAAAGCAGCTCCATTAGGAGCATTACCTGCTCCTACTTTTACCAAGGTCATGGAAGGGGAGGGTTATAGAGACAAAGAAACAAACACTGAGAGTGCAGTTACTGCAGATCTACGAACAAGGAGTTACTACTTTGTGAGAGAACTTTTATTGGCCTCCAAAAAATAACTGAAGAAATTAAACTACATTTTTAATTTCAGCAAGGAGAGAAATGGATGCTGTATAGACTGCTAAAAAATTATGTGAGGTTTGCATCTTCATTCCCCTGAGAAATAGAGTGGAAGGGTACAGACAAACAGAACATACTGTAAATCCACAACTGCATAGGTGTCTGAGCTGGTGCAGTCTACAGGATGAGTGTGAAAAACTCAGTCTTCTACCCTTGTCCTGCTCTCCTGAATTTCCAACGCACTCCTGGGGACTTGAGGAACTTACTAACAAGTTAAATCCATGCTCTAGTACATCACTGGCATTTCTCCATCTGCTGCACCAAAAACAGAAGCCACTTAAGTTATACTGCAGGTAAGGAAGAACAAGGACCTCTTTTGAAAATATTGCCATGAAAATAATATAGGTGAATATATTAAACTGCTTAGCTGTCTACAGTGAACGTTCTGATTCCCGAGGCACTGGTAAGGAGGTTGTCTTTGGTTTACAGAACTATCTTTTCATAGTGCTTTTCACAAGAACTTGGTCATGAGGCTGGGTGTGAAAAGAATGTCTGTTTGAAAGGTGATCACTGATTTCACTTGTGGCTGTTCAGAGGAAGCACATCTTTGCTTTTAAGCACACAAACCTAGACTTCAAAATACAGGGCTAAATTCAAACCTATTTCAAGTGCAGACAGGTCGTGCTGATTTCATTGGGCACAGCTCAAAAACCCTCTCTGGCCAACTTCCCCAGGTCCTTCTTTGACATACTCACACGTGGCAGTCACATTAGATCAGCTCATTAACACTGGTTATTTATTTTGAGACGATTGGGGCTGACACTGCCATTCTCCAGTGCTGCATTGCATTCAGAACCAGAGTAGCTGTTTCCTGCATTGCTGCCTGCCTGGCAATCAACACACCACATGAATTAGTTCAGGTGTTTTCTAAGTTCTGCTTCAGTTTTAACTGTAGGTGAGTTCTAGAGTATGACATAGACTTCCTTACCCTTTGGAAAGCAAAGCAAGAGAGAATGCTGAAAGCAAAAAAGTGCCACTGTTCCTCAGGTAGGCACTGTGTTATTTAGTACAGACCTGACTTAGTCTTCTCTATTAAGTGTCACTGTTTTGCTTTTGGCTTGTTCCCAGTGCCAGAATTTTGGACCACCCATGGAAAACAAGTTGATTCTCCCAATGTCAAGACTGTTCAAGAAGGCAGGTGGATGCTTTACATTAGCATTCCAGGAGCTACTTCAGCCACAGAGATTAATCCATGCCTGTAAATCACTGGGCAGGCAGATTTTGGACTTGTCCAGAGCTCATCCACTGTGCCCTAAGCTCCTCTGCTAGGGCCTGAGCAACCACCTCTTTTTTTTTTTTTTGCTATAGTTACGAGATCTTCAGTACATCTCATCTCTCTTAGAGCTCCCTGATAAAAAAACAAACTAGTTTATCCATGTCACTGAAAAATATGGCATATTTTGACTGAAACTGAAAGAGCCACTGCTGGAAAGCACGAACAAACAAGTTTTAAGTGAGTGGCTATGGCAGACAGCATGCTCCAAAAAAAAAATCCCAACCTCCTCTCCATCAAAGGGTAAATCTATTTTAAACACTGAGTTTGCAATCAAGAGCCTCTTTCATGGTGAATTACCTGTCAGCAGATGCTTTTGTTCTGAACCACAAAAACTCCTGGTCAGGCAACTGCCTTATTGCAACCCAAATAGTGTGTCACAGGGAAAGGATAACTTGAAAGCAGCAAAGCCCAAGCCATGGTGTGTCCAACAAGCCAAAGGTGAGACCCTGAACGATGTGGAAACCAGTGCCTCTGCTTCAACATCAGCACTGAGCATCACATTTATACACCCCAGAAATGACACTCGGTTTCCAGCTTGCCTTCAGCTACTCCTATCTAGAACATTCAGGAAGCAATGGCATTAATCATGGCAAGGAAATCTTTAAAGACTGGCTCAGTTTAACAGGATGAAGAGAAACTGTTCTGCCTTCTAACAGAAGCCACTGATCTAACACAAGGTGTGACTTAACAGAAACAGCTGACGTTGAAAGCAGCACAGATGTAATCTCTGCCATGTCTCCCAGGTATCTTGTCCTCCCACAAATTAATTCCTATCTAGGTGGCTCTTCAATCAATTAGATTTAATTCACAACGTTGCATTAAACACCAAAAAAACCTCCAAACACCTCTCCACACTCCGGCTATGAAATTGTCTTTGGCATTTCATGTGAATTTAAGCCCAATATGACCTTACGTAAAATAACTATGTGCATGTAAGCACTGTTTGGTTATGATACACTGGAGACAGTAATCCCAGATTAATCCCTGTTTGGTGATAGAATTCAAAATAACAGTGTCTTTTCATCTATTACCACAGGATCATCATCTACTGACAGAAATAATTAGTGCCAGTCTGGTCAAAATCTGAGCTGTCTCCTTTCTTTCTGATGCCAAAATGATACAGCTGTGATAAAAAGTCAACTGAAAGTTGTCACTAGAAAGTGGTTTTCTCTCAAGTCTATCTTAAGAAAAGTCACCTGTGTGAAATTAATGCAGTTACAAAGCAAAGCTGAAGAACCAGAGAGGGAGGTGACAAGTCTCCTTGAATTATTTTATCATTGCTTCACTGGATTCTTCTAGGAAACAAAGACTTGCATGATCACTGATCAAGGAAACAAACCTCAGGCCAGTCAGTGCAAAGTAGTCCATGTTCTTGCCACCCACAATACTCAGTGTGTAACTTTTATTTGATGCCTGATTTTTAATAGCACCCTGAAATGGAAGTTGGCAATAGCATGGTAGTAGCAAGGGCACATGTTACATGCAGAGGGCACAGCCCATCTGAAGATCTGTGCATGGGAGCAATCCACCCTCAGAACTCAATCCGATTTTCTCCACAGAGGAGCAAGATTTGCAACAGAAGAACCTGTGAGAAATTAAAGCGTGGATCAGTAAGGGCTCTGGGGCCAGGGAGCCATGCTGACACACACAAAGATATGCAGCAGAAAATCTGTGTCTCTTTGCTTTAGAATGGGATTCCTTCTCAACTCTAAAAACTAGGACACTACGTTAATTAACTAGTTAACTACTCTCACCTTTAAATGTAGAAGTGTTTGTACAGTACAAATTTTATACATTTTGGTTTACTTAAAATCGAGTTTTATTTCTTAGTTAGAAGTAGAAAGGAAGAACAGTCCAAGATCTCAGCAATACCTGACTTTTCAGGAAAAAAACCTATATATTCCATACATGACAGAAACAGATTAAACATGCTGAAAATATGGTGCAATTAAAAAAATCTGACTGTGTCTTTAGGGCAAAACAAAACAACACAGGGTGTACAAACCTACCAAATATTGTCTGTCCATATAATTAAATTTACACATTTTTAAAAAGAACATGGGAGCTCTCTAGGTTTGAGTGTAACTTGCACAAAAAATGTAAAGCCTACAGGGTTTTTATAACCTTTTCCCCTGTCCCCCTCTCTCCAAGGATTTGCTGTGAGTCTCCAAGTGATCCTGTCACACCCCAAAGCTGTATTCAAGCGCCGTGGTTCTCAGCCAGGAATGCAGGAATCTGACTTTCTGAAACAGATAACAACAGTGGAGGAACTGGAGCCAAAAGCAAACAACTGCACAAAGGTACCAACTTCCACACTTGCTAAGTAAGAAGCTTTGGTGTCACCCCTGTGGATGACTGTACTGACACAAATGTCGTTTCACAGGTTCTTGTCTGGCACACGCGAACAGAGAAAGTGAATCTAGCTAACGAGCCAAAGTACCACCTGGACACAGTCAATATTGAGGTATGATGGGGAGAGACAGTCACACAGCAAGCACAGGACAACAGAGGTGTCAGCAGGTGCTGGAATTCGGGCAGTTAAAATCACCTGGTTCTGTGTGAGACCTGAGGGACTTCTGTGGAAACAAAAGGAAACTGTCAGAGACTCTAATAAGCAAATCAAGTGGGTGTGCTTTGTTCTAACTTGTCTGCATGCATTTCTGAACTCTCAGCTTAATAAACTGACACTTACCTTTGTTTTAACGCTGTTTCCACATAGAGAAACGTGGCTGCAATGGAGTACTTTCAAAACCATTATTTATGTATATACTTTTTGTATTTATCCAGCTTAATGGTGTAATTATGAACCGATTTTAACTCATGAACTGTTGATCTAAGCATCTGCATAAATGGATCCTCCAAACTGAACATGTTTTACTTCATTCAAAAGTAATGGTCAAATAGGTTGTACAATAACGAAATAAAAACCCACAATCATTTACGGATTTATCCTTTTAATATAGGGAAATAACATTTTATCATTACGAGGCACCATAAAATGTAAACACAATCACTGTCATAAACCTGGATCTCTCTGCAAGGAAAAATATATCAGTTCATGTTGAGTTACCTTGTATGCATATTGTGCTGCTAGTTCTCAGCATTAATACTGTGCGTGTGCCTCGTGGGCCAGATCAGAGACTTCAGCACAGGAAACTCAAGACGCATCAATTGCTCATTTTTAACAGAATAAACTATTGATTCGTAGAACTACAGTAACATCCAGGTTTATCTTGCTTTCAATAACCACATTCCCTGTTATGCACACCATAATAACATCACAGTGAAATGTATGATGAAACAAAATTTGTTTGATACACTAGAAAACATTGCTCAGTGATACATTTACATTCTATTTATATATGATTAAACATTTGTTCATACAGTACCTTCTACAGGATTACTGGGTAATTTTGGGGGGGTTGGGGGTTCATATTTTTGGATATTACTAACATGATAGCTACATCCCTTATATGCAAACATTTGATCTAGAATTTCGAGGGAAAAAAATCAGTATGTGGTTAAGCAGCTTCTTAATATGGTCTATGAAATCATATGCATTGTATGAAAACGCTTCCAATGATGTAGAAATGTATCCTTGATCTGCTTTTTTACTACATCAAATTTAAATCAATATAGACCACAACACGGTCAGTCAGTTATATTCTTAATCTGAACAGCTGGGGAAAAAGAAAAAGAATATATATGTACATGGAAGGAACAGCGAAAGTAAATGCGTTTGAACAAGGAATGTTAGGTGGCTGTTCTGGGCAAGACTTCTATTGCAACTTTCATTTCCACAGTTGTGTGCTGAGAGTCTGGCCAGAGGAGCTTCCAGTCCATCCTGCTGCTGTGCTGGGGGGCTGGCCAAAGCCCATCACATTGCTGGAGCTGCTGAGGTTCATTCCAGCCATTTGCTGATTCATCTGTGAAGCACAGACACACACACACACATGAGCCTGGTTAGCACTGGCACTGAGACACAGCACACTGCTAGCCCAAAGCAGCACTGCCTCCAACCAGCCACCCCCAGTCAGTGTACATTTCCCCAAAAACATTTCTCATTGAATAAAAGTACTGACTCAGACTAAGTTTCTAAGCTTTTTTCCATGCTGGCAGCTTTTCTGGAGCCCTTCAATCAGCATGACATGCAGCTGACAGGCTGCAGCACTTGGTGTGTGTGTCATGTGCAGG